AGCAGGACTCGGGCGGGCCGCGGGCCCTGGGAGGCCGGGGCGGGGACCGTGGGCTGCGCCTCGTCGGGGCGACCTAGCTGCCGGGGATGTGGGGCGGGGAAGGGGACATTCAGTGGGACCCAGGGTTGGCTGGTGTGAGCCGAAGGCCGCACACCGCGGCGTAGCGGATGCAAGTTGATTACAGGCCGCACGTCTTGGTTTGACTCTGGGGTTTGCAGTTGCTTTGTGGTGTTTTATGCCATAATGCAATCATAAAGAAGGGGTGTCTTGGGCTGGCAAGAGCTGTGCCATGGCTGGGCTGATTCAAAGGAGAAGGGTGTGGAAAATCACAGGTGAACTTTTTCTTGTGCAAATAAAATGAGCCTGCGTTTTTCTCGTGATTTGGGTGGTGGTTCGGTGGAGTTCAGTTACATTTGCTAATTGCTGCAGGTGTTTGAGAGTTCAAAGGTTATCAGAGGTAATTAAACCATGTTAAAAATAAAGACCACACCAGTCACAGTCACATACTTCTTTATGGATTAATATTTACGACTTGGTTCAGATGTTAACTGTTGATTTTGGTAGTATCTGATGTACACGTTTGAGAAATCCTCGACTGAGGAGTTCAACACTAAGAAGGAAGAAAATTGCTGAGAATGGTAACTGCTGTGTGCTCTATTGGAGACTGCCAAGCATAAGCCATGTTACCAGATGTGCCAGTGGTGTAAAGAAGCTTGAGAGCATTCTGTATTTCAGTGGTAGTATATGTATGGGGTTTATATGATGTCTGTTGGAACCTGTTCAAATCTGGAATCAGATTTGGTGCACTTTTTTCATTGATCTCTCGATTCAGCAGGTAGACAAACATGGGTGCCTACAAGTACATCCAGGAGCTATGGAGGAAAAAGCAGTCGGATGTGATGCGATTCCTCCTTCGTGTCCGCTGTTGGCAGTATCGCCAGCTGTCTGCCTTGCACCGAGCTCCCCGGCCCACCAGACCAGACAAAGCTCGCAGGCTGGGATATAAGGCCAAGCAAGGTAATGAGACGTAGAGGTGACATCCATGTGCTTTGTGATGGAATGGCCGAGTTTAATGTCAGCTTCCTTCTTTCCTTAAGTGAGAGTAGAATAACAAAATCTGAAACTTAAACGTTCCCCAAGATCCTGAAGTATCCTGCATGAAAGTTAACTTATTATTATAAACGTGTTAAATTGGTCGCCATGCCCACAGCCCAAAACAATACTTCATATAATTTTGAATTCACGCCTCCTGTGGCCATTTTAGCAGTTGGAGATCAAGTGGGCTTTGGCTTTAATTCTGCTTGGTTTTGTGCTGTTTTACAGCTGTGGAGTTCACCAATGCTTTTAGTATCCTAGGGTTGGCGGATGCCCATTCTCTGCCCAGATTTTATCATGAGTTACTTTGACTGTACCACAGCTGTACGTGCTTGAGTAAGCAAGGTGATGTAGTTTGTGCTGTCATTAGAAAACAGTTACTGGTCAGTGAAGGAAACTTGGGGAAATTTGCCATCCATCTGTAACTTTAGCAAATCCTTGAAACAACATGTTTGATCACTATGAAAATATAAAACTAAGAGTATGCTTCTGTTACTATTTAAGAAGTTTGTCTAGTTTCCTCATTTTTTTAATGATCAGATTTCAGCAGGGTTTGTGGATGGCTTATGCTTCAGTGCTTTATGAATACTACTATCTGAATATGGGATTTTGGGTTTGAGGTGGTTGTTTTGTTGGGTTTTATGGGCTGGGGTTTTTTTGTATGTTACAACATAGCTGTAGCTGTTCTTAGTGTATTTGGAACCACATAGTGGAAAAGTGCCCTAAGCTCTGGGTTGGAACTAAAAAGTAGTTGCAGCAGGACATTGCTTCCCTTAGTTGTAATGGAAGTAACAAAAACATCTTATGCTAGCCACCTCCACTTGTAGGTTTTAGTGAAGATGGGTGTAGTGACCTAATTTTGCAGCATTTCATGTAAAGCTTTTGGGGTTGGAAATTCAGTATGGGCATCAAAATTGTCTTACTGTCATCTGCATTTGCTACACTACAGAATTCTGCTAGTTCCTAAGTCACCATTTCTTGTAGGTTATGTTATCTACCGTGTCCGTGTTCGCCGTGGTGGTCGTAAACGCCCAGTCCCGAAAGGTGCAACCTATGGTAAACCTGTGCATCATGGTGTTAACCAGCTGAAGTTTGCCCGGAGTCTTCAGTCTGTAGCAGAGGTGACCATTTTGGTTATTGCTCAGGAACTTGGCGGTAGGAATGTCTGTCTTAGTCTGTAAAAGTTGAAAATACTTGTGGACACAAAAAACCCCAAAAACCAAACAGCTGTTTTATTAATGTGTTGGGTAAAAGAGCTTGAATATTGATGGCAGGAAAGCATGGGAATGTCTTGAAAAGCTGTGTTGAGACAAATGAAAAAAATGTTCAGACTTCACAAATGAAGTCTGCGGAAAGTACTACTTAAGTGGTTTATTGAGGTTCATGGTGTATACTTATTTCTCAAGTGTGACACAATATTTGTAGTGAAAAATAGACATACAACTAGTATAAAACCCAATAAATTAAGGGTTAGGTGTGAGAAATAAAAATTGAAATATGCTAAGGTGTCTGACTAAATCCCACCTCTGTGCTCCCTGCCGTGTTGTATTTATTACCAGCTTTAGGTAATGGTCTTTTCACACAGTACAGGTGAGTTTCTGTCTAAAAGTCTGTAGCGCCTGTTTATGTGGTAGGAGTGCCGTGCAGTGTACTTAGCTGTGTCATAGGATCTAAAAGCAGCATGCTAGCTGACCTTCTGGTTCTTTATAAAAATCTTTGTTACCTCACAAGCACAAAGATTGATGGTTAACTTGGTTTTAGGTGAGGTGTGTTACCTGCTGAAGTACTCAAAATGGAAACTTCCATTCAATGAGATCTTGAAGTTCATAATGTCATAGTAGTAATGTTGAAGAGATACGTAGTTCTCACCTTTAGAAAAAACTTTCAGTGAGTTACAATTAATACTAGTCTGCACTCTCAAAAAAGAGGCATTGTGAAAGAATGGAGAATGCTCATTGCTGTTCCATCTTGAAGCAGAAGACTTTTCTGTTCCCAGGACTTCAAAAATATTCATAAGTGACTTCAAGTTGGAATATGGTGGGGTGTTTTAAAAGGGGAAAAAAAGTAAATGGGACACATTAAAAGAAACGCAAATTATGAGTTTAAATTAAAAACGCAGTTCTCTGTTTTCAGTGGTCATGGCATGCTCTTCATATATGCTATCATCAGATATCTGATGGCTAATCACATGCTCACTTGTGGTGACAGCTCGTGGAAGAGGTTATTGGACCGCAGTTTTAGTTTTAAATTTTTTGAATCTGACATGCTCTTTCCTGGAGGACTTAGATTTTTTTTTTTTTTCCCCCCAGATGGAAATACTATAGGAATATAAAACCTCCATTGTAGCTAGCATCCCACATAGAAGCTGGTTGAGGGTGGTTGGTGTTTTAATGTTTGATATATGTGTTACGCTGTCATCCTAGAATGAAACAAGGACTCAAAAGAATTTTATGATATTTGCAGAAAGTACTCAAGTGCTGTTTAGTGGAAGACTGTAGTAATAGGTTGGGATCTCATTGGGATAGAAGATGAGTGAGCTCCATTGCTTTATGCTTTCCCACGGTGATGGTAAAGTCCTAGGATTAAACACACTTTTAGTGTTTTTAAAAAAGGAACATTCTTGACAAGAGAAGGCAGATGGAGTTGCATAATTGGTATTTTTTGCTTTTTGTTTTCTAAACTAAGACTGCTTCTTTCCAACCACAAGTAAGGGTAGAAATAGCAAGCACTAATATACCAGCAGTGGAACAAAGACTTGTTACATCAGCTGTTTCTTTTCTCCTGTCAGTATGGGCTTATTCTCTGCAGAAATGTCTTTCTCCCCTGTAGCTTTGGATGTGCAAATTGATCAGTCTTTCATAACTTCCCACAAAAGGCTTTTCTGTGGCCCCAAGTGCAGCTTGTGCACTTTATCTTCATCTTCACGGTAAAGTTGTTTTTAACTCTGTGTATTTACTTACTGGGTGCTTCTGTGTACAGAGTAGTTCTTTCTTTTGTCAACCAAGCACCTTCCTCACGTTCTTTAAAACCTGCTTCATGTAGGAAACCAAACAGTCTTTTTTTTTTTTTTAATACAGTGTCAGCTATTACTTTTTCTTGCATCTTTGCAACTGAGAGGGGAACAGTTCTTCTAGGAAGAGAGGGTCTCAGGTCAAATTGAAATTTCTAACACCTACAAAATTTTAAATTTGAGTTATTCATCTCTTCCTGCATGAAGAGTGCCTGCATCCATGATTTTACAGCCTTTTGCATTTATCTTTTTCCTCTAGGAACGTGCTGGCCGTCACTGTGGGGCTCTGAGAGTCTTGAACTCGTATTGGGTGGGTGAAGATTCCACGTACAAGTTTTTTGAAGTTATCCTGATCGATCCCTTCCATAAGACCATCAGGCGCAACCCTGATACCCAATGGATCACCAAACCTGTTCACAAGCACAGAGAGATGCGTGGGCTGACATCAGCCGGGCGGAAGAGTCGTGGTCTTGGCAAGGGCCACAAATTCCATCACACCATTGGTGGCTCACGTCGTGCTGCCTGGAGAAGACGCAATACCCTGCAGCTGCACCGTTACCGTTAATTCTTGTAAACGTGACGATCTAATAAAGCTGATGCAGGTTGTTGAATTTAACAAGTGCTTCTGCTGCTTCTTGGGTTTATGTGAAGTATAGAATTCTCCAGGAGTTCAGTCGTTTCCATATTTTGAAAGGTTTTTGAAAATGTAATTTGATATTTGTAAAGATGGTAGGCCCCGAGCGTAGGGTTCTGTGGTGGGTTTCACTTTTGATGAGACTGAAAAGACACGTGCAGTCGTGAATTGAAAGCTTAATGGCTAGTCCATGTTCTTTTTTCTGTTGGTCTGAGTATACTTCACTGTCTGTAGGTCGGGGTCTCTGTGCTGTGCTTAGACTGAAGGCCAGCTTTGATCTTGTGCAATGTAAACTGAAAGTGCTAGTTTATTTTTTACAGGTGATTAAATACTAATGGCAATTTTATTTTTCAAGTTCTGGGGTTTTTTTGTATGACTTCGGTGTGAAACCAGCTCTTGAGCCTGTGTTATCTGCAAACATGGGCTAAATGGACTAAGCACAAAATAGAAAGGTAAGACATTAAAGGGCACAGTATTTTAAATATGGAGACTTCACAAAGAACTATGCAATGTTTTAGGTTGACTAATAAAATACTGACTGTAGAGTAAGTATTACTTCATTTGTGCAAGGTTCCAGGCTGTTCATTTTACATTTTGCAGTGGAGGCAGCATTTCTTAGATCTGCCTTTTGATACCAGAGCAGAGAACATTTCTCTGGTGTTGAAGAGCTGCATTCTCATATGCTCTGCATGGTTGGGTGGTAGAAATAATCGCATTTGGATGGCAGACAGTTACAATCTTAGATTAATGTATTTTAGGCTACATTTTGTGAAATTACAATGTGACCTTTTACCATGAAGTCAACTTGCACAGAAATGCTGAGAGGGAGGGTAACTGCAGTTTCTGGTAAATGAGCTGCACAGCTGTCCTGCCTTCCACAGATTTCATACCACCTCCACTGGGTAGCGATAGGAAAAGGGATGGATAGAAAGCCCAAGAAGTAGCTGTGTCTTCCTAGAGCTGCAGCTTGGGATCTGGAAAGGCTTTTAAACAACAGAAAGCTAATGCTGAGACTGAAATGTCCAAGATTTGGCCTTCAACTGAGAAACTAACTTTGCTCTTTAAGTTCTCACAGGAGGACTGCAGTCTGAAGAAGAGACTCTTTAGCAGCATGATCTTAAAGCCAGGAAGAACAGCTCAAGAGGGCAATCCTTCCATGTTTTGTTCAGCTCAAACAAGCAAAAACATTATTCTTTTGTAGCTCTGTTAAAAAGTGCTACCTGCTCCTCTAAAGAAGGGAGATTTTTTTTGCTTTAACCTTTCGTGTCAGGGAAGAACTAGTATTGGGAAGAAGAGGATTCTTGAAAGCGGCTCCTGTGATGCTGTAGGACAGGAAATGGCTGTTCCTCAGAGCAGGTGCGCAGGAGCCTGACACTGTGCTCCAGCTCCTTCAGCTGTTGGGGACCCTCGCCCATGATGGGGGAAGGTGGCTGGGCCGAGGGCTCTCGTGCTGTCTCCCTTGCCAGGGTTCAAAACTTGTAGCGCATGGGGGATGTCTTCAGTGAGACCTGCCTGAGGTTTCCCTTTGTGGTCCTGTGATGGAAGTGTATGTAAGAGGGTATGGTGTTGATCAGGCTCGCTAAGGAATTTGGAACAGATGGTAGTGTCTTCAGTGCGAGCTCTGGGTACATACAGCTCGTCTCAAGTTTTCTGGAAATGCGATCGCCCGAGCATCTTCTCACACTGGAATTGTCTCATGCTCTGTTAAACAGTGTTTTGGGTTGGAAGGGGGGGAAAATGCAGTGCAGTATTTGTGTGAAGGGGAAAAGCAAATTTTCTTTATTAAAACCTGTGTTTAAAAAAGGCAAAACTGGGGAAAAACTTCCTTCTTTGGTCGGGTTAGCTTGGGAAACCAGGCTAAGGGAGAGGTTATGTGATCTCTGCCTTTTCCTACTTTGATGATTTTTGAGCCTGTTGTGCAAGTTCAACAGAGATTGCAAGTCTGTGTTCCTTATGAGTTTGGTGAAAATCGGTTTTCTGAGACAGCAGCCCTAGCGAGAGGCTGTTACTTGAGTTCAACCTTCTGGGTACACTGAGAGTCTGCCTGAAACACAGATACTAAGCTGTAGCTGAAGCGACGTGAGAGGAAGGAAGAAGAAGCATCATGAATTTCACTGGTGAAATCTATTAAGACATGGAAGAATCCAATAATTTGTTTCCAAGCCATCTACTTGGCTCTGCTTGCAGGACTGTTAATTTCTCAGTCTGAACTGGCATGTTTTAGATGTAATTAAAAGAGCTGTCTGGTTTCCAGGCAAGACAAAATGAATTCCACAGTTAAAGGGCAGCGAAAGAGGGCTGTACAGCCTATTTCAGCCTGATACCAGATGCTATTGAAAATATTTGACTGTAAGCTTTTATTAGGCTGGGTTTCAGTTTTGTGTAAGCTGCCTAGATTAACTAATTGCCTAGCTTTGGTGGGAGGTGAGGGCCTGGCAAGTAATTCAGCCCCTGCTAGAAACGAATTCTGTCCTCCTGAAGGGTGGGATGTGTAAAAACAGATTGTGTGATTTGGCACGGTCTTTAAATAAGCAAGTAGTAAACTCCCTTCCACGTAGCTAATAGAAGCACTCATTACTTGGCGACACTAGCTAAATCGAAAACTACAGATTCGCTAATCAACAGTGAGTGTAATTGTTTCCTTACGTTGTCTCCGAAGTGTTGGGGGTCTCGGCAAGGCAGCTGTGTGCTGCTGGGCGAGGGACGCCGGCACGCTGCCTGTGGTAGGCACATATGCTGATGGAGGGGGTGGCTGGCTCCTTCCTTGCAGCAGAAAGTCGTTGAATGGCACTGGTGATTTTGTGGGGGTCTAAGAATGATGCAGTTGGCAATGGAGGAGAACAATAGCTGGACTTGCTCACTTATCTCTGTCCTTGTAATGCAGCAGTTGTTCCCTAGTCTTGACCCAGTGAGAGAAGTGACTACATGTGAACAGTCCCATCCAGCTAATGAATTAAAAAGCTAGACTAAAAATAGAGCCTGATTCCTACTCTTTTACCTACTCTCTCTCCAAGATGGCGAAAACACCATCTTTTTTGCCCTCGTACAGCTCTCTTCTTTTTGCAGCACACACAGGTCTAGTTCAGAGAGTATCAAGCCAAAATACCCAGAGTGATGGAAACACTGCTTCAGCCACAAAAAAGCAATTTGGATTTGAAATGGATGCTCTTTTCTGGGGCTTTGAGCAAGCACCAACTTTTTGATCCAACCCTTTTCAAGTAATTACTTGAAATGTATAGCTGTATAAAAGGACAGAGAGCCTGTGGGTTGTTCTTCTTTTCATGTGTCAATGTTCTGAATCAGCCCAAATTTAATAACTACACACAGAGTGTTTAGGTTGCAAAGTCTAGCTCCCTAAAGTTAGGCAGTGCCTGAGCTACGCTGCTTACGCAACCGTTAATTCAGTGGCTATCCTGCTCTTACCTAATGCACCAGAAGAGGCCTCTGGCAAAGCCAGGATTGGAACCCAGTTCTGGGCCCCTTGTCACTGCCTGAAATTTAAGAGAGTGTGCTTTTCTTCAGTATCAAATAATGTTCAATGATATCCTATAATTAAAGGCTTTTATCTAATGAAGATGACATTTAATCTCATTAAATACTGTCAGCTCTCCATCATTCAGGGAATCAGACAGTTGAGGTATCCTGGAGGACAGGGAGCTCAGTGGGAGCAGAGGAGTGATTAAATCAAGCCTGGCTCTGTTAAGATCGATGCTGGCTGGGAGCGCACGCTCAGATGGAAGGTAGCCCTCTTCTGAGCCGGCTTGGGTCTCCCCGCGTTGCCTTCCTGGTACCAGGCTTTAGAAAAGCCCTTGCTGGTTAATACGCTGGGCCCTAGCTGGCTCCCTGGGGTTTGTGCAGCCTGTGCCGCCTTGTGAAAGGGCTGTGGAGGCATAGCTCTGGACCGAGCTGACTGTCCACGTGCAAGCTGAGAATTTCCCTTGGAAACACAAGAATCAAGAGGCACATTGAAGGAAAAAAAGAGGATGAGTCAGCTGGCTTCCAGCAGGGCTTGTTAGTACGCTGGTGCTGCCCAGTGACAGGAACACGTTGCAGAGGAGGCTACAGGTAGCCAGGGGTCAGCAGGGGTCATCAGCCAAGTTTGCGTGGTGCCGTCCCTACGGTATAAACCCAGCTGGACCCAAGCCTCCTCAGCACAGAACTAGCTCCAGGTGCCTGTGTCTTTGGTGTCTATCTGCAACCCCAGCAGACCAGGCAGCAGCTGCTAGGTTGTCCAAACCCGGACAAGGACAGTTCTTGGTTGGTGTTGCGAACCGTAGGCTGTGAAAGGCGCTACGTCCAACGCTGAAGCCCTCCGTCATCCAGGCCTCATCACCAGGCTGCGTGTCAATAGCCAGAACAGCAGGCAGAAACCGAGACCCTATTACGCTCTGCGTTGTGTTCACACGTGTAAATAAAATGAGTCGCCATCCCCAGAGAGCTCATACGCCAAGTAGAGGAAGTAGCTCATTAGTCTGGTGTTCACTCATTCATTTATTCATACATTTTTCTTCCAGCATTGTTTTTCTGTGACTAACAAGCAATTATTTGAACCCCTTCCTTGTATGAGAATCGCAGCCCTTCAACTCATCCGCTGTTACAGTCCACCTGCCTCTCATGGGTTTCGTGATTAGTCAGATGAGTTTAGATAGCAAGCTACGCAACCTTTATAAATAATGTTTTGAGCTTTGTGTTTTCAGTTCATTCAGGGCTATATATAAAAATTTTGTCTTGTATGTTGCTATGTTGTTTGCAACTATTTGGAAAGTGGTTTTGTCAAAGCATGGTTAAACAAAGTCATAGTAAAGCTTTTAAGTAAAATAGAAAATTCCGTATTATTTTCACTTTGTTTAGAAGTTATTGCTACAGGTGTTGATAGAGAACATCTGCTTATGATCTTTTTTTTACAGAAAAAGATGCAAAGTAAGATACAGCTACACCAAAAAAATCAAGTTCAGATAGAAACCAGTTAATATTTATAAATTTAGGAAATGAGGTGGAAATAAAAGGAACTTTCTTGATTTTTTTTAATAGATTTATACACACATTATTTATACAAAATACGTGATTCAGTTGGTTGTATTGAATCTGAAGGAACTAGTTCCCAGTAGTAAGGTAAATAGTTTCATTTCTGATGGATGCCTGGTTGTCCATTCTTAATAGGCAGAGACTAAAAACCCATATAAACTGATGGTGAGAGACTAAGTGTTTCATGTTAACGCCAATGATTTGTACTGGGAAGATGATTGCTGCCATTTATGTGTGATGTACGTTTTAGATTATGCTTGCTGC